TTTTTTTTTTTTTTAGAGTCAAGTCGATCACTATAGGGAAAAAAATGGAGAGAAAGTCATCTTTTGTTTTTTTTTTTGTTTTTTGGGGGGGACCGTGACTCTCCTTCCCGTTGAAGGTTTGGTTTGCCGCCAGTTGACTTCCAGTGTCAGGGTTCCTACGGAGTTACCTCCGTCTAGCGTTGTCTTTAGTATAAGCATGTCGGTACTACTACTAACTACTAGTCCTGTACTCTGAAGTACGTACGGAGTACTCCGTAGTACTCCGTAGTTTATTATTGATTTTGGCATAAGACATTTTGATAAAAATAAATATCAGGGGAGAGTTCGAATCCAGTATTACGCTTTCTCTTTTTTTTCTTTCTTTGTGCTTTTTTGAACGGAATCCACCTTCCTCGGCGCTAAAAGGTGTAGTAAATGATAAATTATAATATGAATATATTATGAACTATAACATACTCTCGCTATAGACGACTCTAATTACAATAGCCAATCCCTACCGGTCATTCTTCCTGGATCTTTTGTCTATAGTTAATTTATAGGGCTACTAGCACTATATGTTATCGAAAGGGGTTCGTCGAAAAGGTCCCAAGTGGAGCAGTGTCAAATCTCGCTATGGCCCCGGCCTCGTTTCGGATTTATAAAGAGTATCGTACGGAGTACTCTAGAACGATTCACTATGTATAGATAGACTACTCTGTACTCCGTATAGGAGTCACTATCCCGTTTCATTTGTTTTAATATGTGGGGAAGTCCATGCGATATGACCATACTTAATTTGCTACCGACCAGTCGTTGTAGAGCTGGGAAGACTTAAGTGCGTTGAGTTCATTGGTGGATATTCTAATGAATAGGACTCGGAATATATTCCTAGTGGTACTCTAGAATATACTCTGCCTTTTACGGAGTAATCTATATTTACACCCTGAACAGGGAAAGCAAGGGAGAGATCATTCCAATCCATGGACTGAGAGAAAAGATGCATGCACTGTTGAGCAGAACACGCCATCTCGGATAAATTCCATCTCCTGAAGGATGTTTACGGACGGAGGACGGAGTACCCATTTTGTATACCATGTATCGATGTCACGTGTCAATGAGTTTATCCTCTCTCCGCCATTCTAAAATAATGGACGAGTAGGAAACTTCCACGATACTTGTGAGTACGGGATGAATAACTCTATTGGGTAGTATAAATTGAAGCCGACATGAACTTTGCAAAGGGATGTTTACTGATAACTTTTGTCAAAGTATGGCCTCTTCTTTAAGCCAAGTGTCTATTATATATAGTAAAACCTTCCCGTTATGACATGATAGGGCGGCTGGCCTAATGGTAAGGCGCTTGACTTCGGATCAAGAGATTGCAGGTTCGATCCCTGCGTCGCTCAATCTTTTTTTCTTTTTCTTTTTTTTGTTGTTTGTATTCAACAACACATCTGTTGTGGATATCCATCCCATTCTTAACATATCATCCCTCCGTAAATAATACGCTGGTCGGGTTTTATAAGTAGCTCAACTGTGTAGAGGGCATTTGTGGTACATATGCATCGGAACCGCTGGTTCATTTCCCAAGTTATTCCTCCCAGACTTGAACGTAATGTCTATCTAATATACATTGTAAGGTCGACATGGACTAGAATACATCCTTTACAAATCAGCAGTCCGCCCTACCAAAGTACCGAGGAAAAGACACCACGTCTCGGATACTCGAGACGCCAGCCAGGTATCCCAGGAAACGGTCAAACCCAAGACCGAACCCTCCATGGGGCGCTGTTCCCCACCGCCGAAGGTCTGCATACCATTGAAGATGGCCCAGGTCTTCACCGGGTAAAAGGTGAGGGTATAGTGGAGTCTCGGGGCCGGCTTGTGCTTCTGCTTCCGCTTCCGCCTCCGGTGCGCGGGCCTTGATGAGCCCATGTTCGCGCATGTTCTGGATGATGTTGGGGAGACGATGTTCGCGAAGTGAGCCTCCCGCGACTTCACTAACGTCCGGGAGAAGGAGATCAAAACAGGCGACGGTTTCGCCTGGTGTTGTGGATGACGCGGTGCCGTCTCCGTTGGACGGTGCCATGTAGAATGGCTTGACGGCTTTGGGATAGTCGGTTACGAACACCGGACGGCCGTTGTGAATCACATCGACAATGTACCTCTCGTGCTCGAGTTGCAGGCCCCCGGTCCATTCAGGTGCATATTCGAATGACGCTTGCCCCTTGGCCACCGCGTTCTGGAGCATCTCAATTGCTTGCGTGTAGGTCATGCGACCCCATCTGGGGCCCTCCATCATGTCACTCCATCGCTGTCGTAGATCAGAACCAGAGTCTTCTGTTTGATCCTGACCGGACTCGCCTGATCGCTTCGCGGATAAGATCTCCTGACCAACGGGCGTTTCGTATAGCCGACAAACCAGATCACGGAGGATATGTTCCACGGAATCGGTGAGCGAGTCTAGGTCACGCATGAAATTCATCTCTGCCTCCAGCATGTAAAACTCGCTCAGATGGCGTGGCGTGTCGCTCTTCTCGGCCCGGAACATGGGCGATAGTGTCCATACGTTCCCTAACTCTGCAGCGTAGGCCTCGAGGTGAAGCTGCGACGACACCGTCAGATATTTCGGTGCCCGGAAGAAATGGTCACTCTCTGACTGTGACACTGTAGCCTCTCGCGGAAGAACTGTAAATGTCTCTCCGGCTCCTTCACAATCGGACGACGTGATCAGCGGTGGGTGGACTTGGACGAAGCCCCCGTTCGGGGCGAAGCGAAACACGTTTCCAAGCTGGTACACACATTCGGATCGGAATCGTGAGAGCAGGGAATTGAATGGTGTTCGAATGCGGAGGTGGGGAATCTGGCGAAGGAAATCGGGGCTGTGATACTTTTTCTGGATGGGATATGTCTAGTGAATCCATGCGGGTTAGCTGCGTAGCCCCTAGTCATCTGTATAATTCCCAGAGTGTCTTATCTCTACCTCAGGATCTGTTCTGCCAACGATCTTCACCTCTGTCGCCTGAAGCTCATGGGTTTGCTCTTTGCCAGGTGGACAGGCCTTCCAGACTCCAGAGATCTCCACAGCTGTCCCAGTAGATAATCTAGTAACGCATTGGTTAAGATCCAATTCTTCGGGGTCGATCGAAGGTGGTCACGGCCAGCAGCAAGGTGGACATACTCCGCAGCCTGTGCCGGCTTCAAAAATGCCTGCAAAGGTTCAATTGTTGACCCGTCCGAAATCTCAGCAAACGCAAAGCGCTTCTGCTTTCGGACGGAGCGAATGGACCCATTTAGTTTGATCTCCTGATCTTCTAAACTACAGGGTCCTTTCTTGCTTTGTCCAAGGACTTGCGCGCACCGTAGGAGCGTGGGGCTGGTGCCCTGACCTGCAGGTTTATGGCTCAGCCTGGCAACAGACGTAGCGAAGGTCCGCCGCCATGTTCGCATTTCTCGTAAAAGGGGGTATCGAGTTGGTTGTGGTGACGAAGTTGGGGAGATTTGGTTTTGGGGAATGCGCTCAGCGTTGAAAGCAACTTTAACTTACTAGCTATCGGCCCGGAGCCTGATACCCGATATCCGATAAATATATATAGTAAATCGTCGTACGGAGTACAGAATAACACCATCGGTACTAATCTCGGCCCGCAACGTCTAACAAGTTGCCACGGTATGTATGTACAACATTCCTATCCCTCTTTTATGAGCATATAATTGGCAGGCCTACAAGGAACACGTTGAGACGGCATAAATCAATGGATTTCCAGATTGATATTGACATTAAGCTGAGTAGAGACCCCTAAAACCAATCTCTCGGCACAGTAGGATAAAGAACAAAAACAACACTTTGTAACAAACGGAATGGGAAAGAAGACATCCGCAGGCTCAACCTTAGAAAGTGAAATTGCTCATAAATAATCCAACAAAAGAATGTACTGGTCATCACCTCATTGATCCTTGTTGCTCATAGGCCTTCCGCTCTTCCTCGATCATTTCAATTGCGTCAGATACTCTCCCATCCACTGCTGCTGCATACACAGCAATTCTCTGAAGTCCGCCTTCCTCGGCTCTTCCATAACCTAAGCTAACCAGCGCAGACACGCAGTCATCAATACTGCGTTGTTTTACAGCACTACTCTCTGCCATGAACGTGCGTGGACGGCGTATGGCATCGGTGCTGCGTGACGACCTATGGAAGTCATCTGTCAAGCTCATCGGTCGGCCATCTTGAAGGGAATGGCGTTCAGTAGCTCGTCGCCTCAATGATCTGGAAGTATCAGGAGCTTCGTAAGCTTGTCGGGTATCCCATGGACCCGAATGTCTTTGAGACGGATGGAAAGACCTCATAGTCCTGGGGCGAAGACGAGAGTAAGAAGGTGTCGTTCGGACGGCTCTCTGTTCTGTGGCGTCGGTGTTGGGAGACAACTTTGGGTATGATTGGAGGCTATCTTGAGAGTCTTGCGGAAATGAGCCGGGGAGACCTTGCGGTGCATCCTCACTCAAGCTGTCATGGCTGTCGACGAAGCCTGTCCTGGGAGTCGATCTGGTTCTAGGAATAGATGTATTACTGGACGATTCAGCGCCCCCACGCCGTTCGGCCAGAAAGTGCGCATCTAATTGTGACACCGGTGGAAACCTGCATTCCTCCAGTTCGCGGCTGAGATCAGGAAGTTGCGTAGATGTGTTGTCGCCCACTCTAGCTCGTGGAGGAGAACCTTCAGGCAAGAGTGACGGGTACAGCGTGTTCAGTCGCTCCGAGTCTAAAAGTGAGGAGCTTACCAAGCTGGTATCTCTAGGAGGTGTTTCCGTGCTCAACTGACGATTGTCATTCGTGCAGAGGTCCGCTACAGTTAAGGGTGACGATCTCCGGTCGTTGGCTGAATCACGTTGTTCTTCAGTAACCTGCAAGTTATATGACACCTGCATCGGTCCGGCTGGTATGATAGAAGAAGACTGAAGCTCAGGTAGCGTTGGCAGCTGATGGAAAGCTTCTTCGTGGCCCTGCACTGTGTACAGCGTTGTGATGGGAGAGTGATCACTGATCTCTAGATTAATTGAGTGTCCGTCGATATGAGTTCCTTGCAAAGCATCCAAGGCCGCTCTTGCTGCATGTATAGAAGGGAAATGCAGGTAGCCGAAGCCTGCATGTCTTCCCGTCTCTGTGTCTAGCGGCAAATGTACATCGACCAAAAATCCCTTAGAAGCGAAAACATCGCGAATCATTGCCTCATGGACACCAAATCCCACATTCCCGATGAACAAGGACGTACCGGCAGAGCTAACCGTGGACGGAGAGTCTCGTTCAGAATGGCTGGCCGCCTCGTTTGCCGGTGCCCGACTGTCATTCTGGTTATGTTGGGATGCAGGCCATCCTTTATGCCTGGGTCGTGGTGGCTGCGGAGGTGTAGGCAGGACGCATGCGGGGGAATAGAAAGTGCCGTGGTGCAAACCATGAGGAGGTCCATGAGGGTGAGCATGGGAATGAGGAGGGGGAGGATGAGGATGAGGATGAGGAAGGTGAGGAGGGAGGTGTGGACCACGAGGAGGAGGTCCATGATATTGCCAGATCATGGAAGGTAAAGGCGGTACTTGGAAAGCTGGGGAAGGATTATACGTGTTTGGTATGGCAAAGGGATGTCGGAATTTGTGCGAAAAGGGATGAGGTCTGTGGGGTAGGGGACGAGGTTTGTTCCATAAGTTCGGGCACTGTGCTTGATTATCTGGGCTTGAATGGAACGTGGGCGACGATGACCCAGGTTGTTGCTGGAGTGAGTCCGAAGGATCAGCGTTGCGATCCGAGGGTAGCATAGTATCTTGCCCGGATGGGCTTTCCTGTGATCCTACATGGGTCGATGGCGTATCCCGTGTCTCCGTGCCCAACGGCTCTTTCTCGTTCTCGCAGTTTGTGACCAAACTGGACTGCTGAGCTTCAGGTAACGCTGCTGAAACATCAGCTGGGGCGTTAGCGGCAGACTCGATTGGCTGTGGAAGTCCAGAGACGGGCAGCCCGGGGTTATCTCCAGAAGCACGCTGACCTTGGTCTCTTGAGGCATTACACCTGAACTCAGATTCGAAAGCCTCAAACAATGTGTGTCCCATGTGGCCAAGTTCAGATGCCATATTGCGCAGACCCTCAATAGTTGCGGCAGGGGTAGGAAGCTCGCTTTGGAAAAGGATCCCTGCCCTTTGTCCCCCCACAGCTGATGCATTATTGAGTGCATGGATCAGGTTCCTCGCCTGGCTATCTAGAGCTGCGAGGGCTACCTGCACTGAAGATCCAACATGTTCAGGAAGAGTATGTTGAAGATTCTGTAACTGCCGCTCGAATTCAGGCAGCCTTGACCTTACACCAGTACCGATCATTTCGGCTCCTTCCACCAGGTTGTGAAGAGCATGTATAAAAGCG